GTGGTCGCGGTTGGCGTCATCGTCCTCCTCCTGTCTCTGGCACGCACCGGATGTCTCTGCGTCCGTCCACTGCTCCTCTGCGTGCCCCTTTGCCTTCTCTTCCTGAGTCTTCTCTTCCTGCTCTTGCCGACCCGGAGTCGGACTCTCTTCGTGCTGCCGGTCCTACTGACACGCTTCTCGTTGCTACTGTTGTCACTGACCCTTCCTTTGAGTCCACTGCTACGTCTGCCCTAGTTGCTGAGCTCGTCAACTTTGCTGCTCGCTGTCGCCTAAACTACGCCGCCGGTCTTGTTGCTGAGTTTGAGTCTGTCTGTTCCTCTGTCCGTCGAGGGTGAGTATGCCCTTGGCACGAACGTCCTTGAGGACAGGCAGGAGGAGTTCCAGTGCTTGGCCGCTGCTTCACCTCATCTCGTGTCCATACTGCTTACCCTGAGGGAGACCCGGATGCACTTGACATCCCGACTCCGCGCTCTTACGCGGAGGCGATAGAGGGTCCCTACTCCTCTCAGTGGCAGGCAGCTATGGACGCAGAGATGGCTTCCTGGAAGTCCACAGGCACCTACGTTGACACGGTTCCCCCACCTGGGGCGAACATCGTCAGTGGCATGTGGATTTTCAGGGTGAAGCGACCGCCAGGTTCTCCGCCTGTCCTAGAGGCACGTTACGTGGCTCGTGGCTTCAGTCAGCGGCAGGGAGTTGACTACTTTCAGACCTTCTCTCCCACCCCGAAGATGACCACTCTTTGGGTACTGCTGCACATAGCTGATGACCGTGACTACGAGCTACACTCTCTTGACTTCAGCAGTGCTTTCTTGGAGGGCAGCCTGCACGACGAGATCTCGCTGTGCCGCCCACCTGGTTTCACTGGGTCTTTTCCTCCTGGCACCAAGTGGAGCCTCCGGCGGCTAGTCTACGGTCTCCGCCAGGCACCGCGTGAGTGGCACGACACACTGAGGACTACACTTGCGGCTCTTGGGTTTGCTCCCTCTACTGCCGACCCGTCGCTGTTTCTGCGCACCGACACTTCTTTGCTGCCGTTCTACATCCTCCTGTAAGTCGACGACTTGGTCTTTGCCACAGCTGACACTGATGGACTCACCCACGTGAAGTCCGAGCTGCAGAAGAGACACACGTGCATAGACGTGGGTGAACTGCGCAGCTACCTTGGCTTGCAGATCACCCGGGACAGAGCACGCCGCACCATTACCCTGTCTCAGTCACACATGGTGCAGCAGGTCCTTCAGCGCTTCGGCTTCACGTACTCCTCGCCTCAGGCCACTCCTCTGCCTACTCGCCACTCGCTCTCAGCTCTGCCTTTGGATGAGTCCGTAGAGTCGAGTGGCGCGTACCCAGAGCTTGTTGGCTGCCTCATGTACCTGATGACCTGCACAGGACCTGACCTTGCATACCCTCTTAGCATTTTGGCACGCTATGTTGCTCCTAGGAGACACAGATCGGAGCACATGGCTGCAGCGAAGAGGGTGTTGCGCTACTTGTGCAGTACGTCGGGCATGGGGCTTGTGCTTGGAGGGCAGAGTCCAGTGGTCTTTAGTGGGCACGCAGATGCTTCTTGGGCTGACGACCAGGCTACGCAGCGGTCGTCACAGGGTTACACCTTCAGCCTTGGTTCCGGCTCTGTTTCGTGGCGGGCTACTCACTCGTCTTCTATTCTCGGCTTGAGTTGTGAGGCTGAGATCTACGCAGGAGCCATGGCTGCATAGGAGCTTCGTTGGCTCACCTACCTGTTGACTGACCTCGGAGAGCCGCCTCGTTCTCCTCCAATGTTGTACGTAGACAACAAGGCCATGCTGGCCTTGTGTCGGGAGTAGCGAGTGGAGCACAGAACGAAGCACATTGCTCTCCGCTACTTTCTTGCTCGTGAGCTGCAGCAGCGTGGTCAGCTGCGTCTTGCCTACGTGGCCTCTGAGGCCAACACTGCTGATATCTTCACTAAGGCGCTTGCGCCTTGTGACCATCAGCGCTTCTGTACTCAGCTGGGCCTTGTGTCTACCTTGCCTCACTTGCTCACCTCTTGACCTTGCTTGTACTGTTACATATATATATACCTGCTCTTGCTTGTCTAGCCTTCTTTATATATATGTACTCCTGCACGTGAACTGGCCTTGTGGCCTTGAACTTGTGCTCGGAATGTGTGGTGACTTTGTGATCCACCCTGAGCTTGCTTTGCTTTGCTTTGCTTGACTGGTCTTGTGACCCCTTGTTCTCCCCCACTTTGCCTATGGGGGTGTGTCAGAACATTATAGCTCATGCATATTTTGTAGGCTATGGTGCCCATAAGGGGTAAAACCGAATTAGGGTTAGTACTTGTACCTAATTCATTCAAAGTTCAATCATTCTCGTTTCTTCTCAGGGGGAATTTTTCCCCGGAATCAGGGAGCCCTAAAATGAAATATCAGCCTTGGTCGAGGCATGAAATGTGGATTCTTGTGAAGTGGACAACCCCACGGGGAATAAAAAACCCATGCCCTGGACAATGGGTACGTTATTTTAAACCTGTACTTGTATTTATCACCCAGATAAAGTTACTAGCCTATTCTCCTCGTTACGTAATGGATGATTATCGTAAAATACATGAAATGAAATTCGGGTGCGATTTTCGCGTTTTTAGTGGATGTTTAGCTAAGTAAAAACAAAACGCGAAACATAAAATGTGAACTTCTCAACATATATATCCAGGGTAGTTTTGCAATTATGGGTGAGGCTTACAAAGAAATTTTAACGGGAACTGTTTACGTTGCGAAGGTTCGCGTTTGCAAGGCGTCTGTTTTCGTTGCCCTCACCCTACCACCCTGGACCTCCGCAATTACCGCCAAGTCCTTCCGCTTGCGCAAGGACCTTGAACTTGGCGTCAACTGTGGCTGATCCCAAGTTGACCTGTCACAACTAGGGGCGAGGCTGTTGATTTTCGATGCCTCGACTCATCCCTCGCTAGATCCCTTGGGTTGCCGAACATTGCCCAGTTGCCGCATTCGGGGTGCTTGGCCCCCTGAGGAATATTCTAGGAAGGCGCATGACAGAGTTTAAAGCCCATGTCGAGCCTCCGAACTCGTTATTGTGTACCAAACCTGGTAGCATTTCTTGTGCGACCAAGGGTTCACGAACGCATCATCACTAGTGCGTTCGGACCTTAGTGGGAAATTTCTGTTACGGGAAAACTGGAGGCGCCGCTCGTGCGAACCCTATCCCCCCAACAGAGGTAGGATAAGGGGACGCACAAGCAATAACGGGCAGATCTGAACGCCCGATTTTGGGAAACTTTGCGATGAAATAACTCATTAGAAAAACATACTAAACAAGAGGCAAGGGTGAACCCAAAGGTTGAAGATTTGTGACTGGTTGGGATGAATGATTTTCATCATCCTGGGCAGACTGGGCATGGTGAACGGGAAAAAATTGGGCTGTTGGAAAATCCGTTTTGTTGTTAGCAGAAAATTTCGCCGAGGCTGCAGGAGGGTTGACCCCTTCGAGGAAATCCCATCCCGCAGTGCTTGTGCGGAAGGCCCGAACTGCTCATGCGCAAACAAAACGATACCCTTCTTCGGTTTGTTAGCAGTTTAGCCAGCGCGACCCCGAATAAGACAATATGGATACAAAGTTTCGTCAAAATTTTGTTCCAACAAACTTACCATCGAGATAGTACTACGAGTTTACAGGAAACAGCCCTGTGCGTAGCCCCCCGTGTCAGAATCAACAAGAGTGATTGCATAGAAAAGAGTTGGGTACAAGTAGGAAACCCTAAACTTCCTGTACCCCATAGTATCTACCCCACTACAGCCTGAACAAACTGTAGTAGATATAACATTTGACACACCCCCATAGGCAAAGTGGGGGAGAGCAAGGGGTCACAAGACCAGTCAAGAAAGGCAAAGCAAGCTCAGGGTGGATCACAATGTCACCACACTCACTGAGCACAAGCAAAGGGCCAGAAGGCCAATTCACATGAAGAGGCATACATGTAACACAAACATCACAATGATCTCTACCTAGCAAAGCAAGCATGCACATATATATGTATAAAGATCACAGTACAAGCAAAGCCTACAGCAAGTGAGGAAAAGAGGGCACAAGCCCTAGCATAGTGCACAAATGCTGATGATCACCAGACTGAAGTGCCTTGGTGAATATATCAGCAGTGTTGGCCCGAGTGGCCACGTAACGCAGACGAAGCTGACCACGCTGCTGCAACTCTCGAGCCAGGAAGTAACGCAAAGCAATGTGCTTTGTTCTGTGCTCCAGTCTGTGCTCCTCACACAAGGCAATGGCAGCCTTGTTGTCGATGTACAGCACTGGAGGAGAACGAGGCCGCTCTCCCAAGTCGGTCAGCAGGTAGGTGAGCCAGCGTAACTCTTGTGCAGTCACGGCCGTGGCGTAGATCTCAGCCTCACAACTGGAGCTGAGAACTGAAGACGAACGTGTAGAACGCCAAGAAATTGAACCAGAGCCAAGGCTGAAGGTGTAACCCTGTGACGACCACTGAGTAGCCTGGTCGTCAACCCAAGAAGCGTCTGAGTGCCCAGTGAGAACAAATAAGCTCCTCCCTCCAAGCACGAGCCCCATGCCTGATGTACTGCACAAGTAGCGTGGTACCCTCTTAGCAGCATCCATGTGCACCCGACGGTGCCGACCAGGAGCCATATAGTGAGCCACAAGGCCGAGAGGGTACGCGAGGTCAGGACGAGTGCAAGTCATCAGGTACATGAGGCAGCCAACTAGCTCTGGGTAAGGACCACTCGGCTCTACGGACTCATCCGAAGGTGGAGCTGAGAGCGAGTGACCTGTAGCCAAAGGAGTTTGCTGTGCCGAGGTCCAAGTGAAGCCGAAGTGCTGAAGGACCTGCTGCACCATGTGTGACTGAGTCTGTGTGATGGTGCGGCGTGCTCTGTCCCGGGTGATCTGCAAGCCAAGGTAGCTGCGCAGCTCACCCAAGTCTGTGGTGTCAGAATATATTTGCTGTCTAGCCTGCAGTGGGGTACTCTGTAATGAGTACAACCCAATTTAGGGCATTGTACTTGTATCCCAACTCTTCCTAGTGAAACCACTTCTTCTCTTTCTAAAATCTCTCGATACCTTCCTCCTCACCCTCGAACTCGATCACCTAGGCACCTAAGTTATGGCTTCTAAGCCTACCTTTGCTTAAGATTCTAAGATTGTATCAGAGCTTAACGCTCCTGGCCTGTGGGCCCACTCGATTCCGCTGCCCTATTGTGTGTCGTGCGCCCCGTGGCGCACGACCACCTTTTTTTCTTCCCGCCACGCGCTCAGGGCGCGTGGCGGTTTTCTGCCCGCCGTGCGCCCCGAAGCGCGCGGCGGGTACCTACCTCGTCGCGGCGTCTTGGGAGCCCGCGCGCTGGCCTTGACCGTCGCCTCGTCGCGGCGTTTTGGGGGCCCGCACGCAGGTCCCTCCCGTCGCCTCGTCGCGGCACTTTCGGGGCTCGCGAGCCGGCCCCTCCCGTTGCCTCGTCGCGGCGCCTTAGGGGCCTGCGCGCGGTCCCCTCTCGTCGCCCGTCGCGGCACTTTCGGGGACCTGCGCGGCTCCCTAGCACGTCACCCTTCAGGGCACAATGGGGGCCGCGCCCTTCCCCTCCCCTCCGTCCTACTTTCCGCTGCAGCAGCCCCAGCAGCTGCAGCCCTTGAAACGGCCACCGCAGCAGCAGCAGCTCAAGGAGCCGCCGCCCCAGCAGCAGCCCCTGGGGCCGCCCCAGTAGCAGCAGCGCCGGGAGCAGCCGCCCCAGCAGCTGCTGCCTCTGGAGCGGCCACCCCAGCAGCAGCAGCTTGTGGAGCAGCCGCCTCGGCAGCAGCAGCCCCGGGAGCAGCCGCCCCAGCAGCAGCAGCCCCGGGAGCAGCCGCCCCAGCAGCAGCCACTGGAGCAGCCGCCCCAGCAGCAGCTGCCTCTGAAGCGGCCACCCCAGCAGCAGCAGCCCCTAGAGCCGCTGCTACTGCAGCAGCCACCCCACCAGCAGCAGCACGTGGAGCAGCAGCAGCAGCAGCCGCCCCAGCAGCAGCCCCAGCAGCGGCAGCCACTGGAGCAGCCGCACCAGCAGCAGCCGCCCCTGGCCCCTGCAGCAGCCGCTCATGGACCAGGTGCAGCCGTGGGGGGTGAGTGTTGGGGTGCTAGTTGTGGGGGTGTCGGTTGTGCGTGCCGTCCCCTCCTCCTCCTCCTCCTTCGTCTCCCACTGCTACAGCTCTCGCTGAGGGGGGTGGATGTGTGGGAGACTGGGGTTTAGGGTTTAAGGGGGGTGGGTGGAGCTAGCGGTATAGCAGCGGGTGTGTGTCGGGGGGTGGGACTGTGTGCGGGAGGATGAGCGGAGGTTGCCAGTCTGTTGTCCGCAGCACCTGTAGTCCGGGCGCTTAGTCCGGTAGCCCAGTGAGTTTGTTGCTGCGCCAGTCGCCCGAGGGTCCGTTGCCCGTCTGCCGCTACTTGAGCCGCGGGGCCTGTTACTCCTGTAGTCCGGGCGCTTAGTCCGGTAGCCACTGTGCTCGCCACTACTATTGCCCGTGTGTCTGCAGCTTCAGCCGCCGCCTTCTATCTCCTCTCCTCTCACTCTCCCTCCTCCTCCTTACTTGCCCATTGTGACTACCACTAGCTTTGCTGATAATTGTGCACTTTAACTATTGCTTCTTGAATTTGTGCTCAGAATGTGTGGTGACATTGTGATCCACCCTGAGCTTGTACTGCTTTGCCTGCTCTGCTGATTACACCCCACTTTGGCTATGGGGGTGTGTCAGAATATATTTGCTGTCTAGCCTGTAGTGGGGTACTCTGTAATGAGTACAACCCAATTTAGGGCATTGTACTTGTATCCCAACTCTTCCTAGTGAAACCACTTCTTCTCTTTCTAAAATCTCTCGATACCTTCCTCCTCACCCTCGAACTCGATCACCTAGGCACCTAAGTTATGGCTTCTAAGCCTACCTTTGCTTAAGATTCTAAGATGTGCACGTGTGTCTCTTCTGCAGCTCCAACTTCACCAGGGCGAGGGCCTCAGTGTCAGCAGTGGCAAAGACCAAGTCGTCGACGTACACGAGGATGTAGAACGGCGGCAGCGAAGTGTCAGTGCGCAGAAACAGCGACGGGTCAGCAGTAGAAGGTGCGAACCCAAGAGCCGCAAGTGTAGTCCTCACTGTGTCGTGCCACTCACGTGGCGCCTGGCGGAGACCGTAGACCGGCCGCCGGAGGCTCCACTGGGTACCAGGAGGAAATGACCCAGTGAAGCCAAGAGGGCGGCGCAGCGAGATCTCCTCGTGCAGGCTGCCCTGCAAGAAAGCTGTGCTAAAGTCAAGAGAGTGAAGCTCGTAGTCAAGCTGTGCGGCAACGTGCAGTAGCACCCGAAGAGTGGTCATCTTTGGGGTAGGGTAGAAGGTCTGGAAGAAGTCTACTCCCTCTCGGTGACTGAAACCTCGAGCAACGTAACGAGCCTTGAAGACAGGCGGAGAACCTGGCGGCCGCTTCACCCTGAAAGTCCACATGCCACTGGCGATGTTCACCCGAGTAGGGGGAACCTCGTCGACGTAAGTGCCACTGGACTTCGAGGATGCCATCTTTGTGTCCATGGCTGTCTTCCACTGAGAGGAGTACTCACCCGCGAACGCCTCAGCGTAAGAACGCGGGGTCGGGATGTCTGGTGCATCCGAGTCTCCCTCAGGTGCAATCATCATGGACACGAGATGAGGTACAGCAGCGGCAAAGCACTCAAACTCCTACTGCCTGTCCTCAAGGACGTCCGTGCCAAGAGCACACTCACCCCCGACGGACGGAGGACAGACAGACTCAGACTCAGCATCAAGACTTGCAGCGTAGTCTAGACGAAAGTGAGCAGCAAATTCGACAAGCTCAGCAACTAAGGCAGACGCAGCAGCTGACTCAAAGGAAGGGTCAGTGACAGCAGTGGCTAGGAGACGCGTGACAGTAGGACTAGTAGCACGAAGAGAGTCAGACTCCGGGTCAGCAAAGGCAGGACGGGAGGACGCGGGAGGAGAAGGCAGAGGGACACACTGTGGAGCAGTGGAAGGACGAAGCGTCATCTAGTGAGTGCCTGGGACAGCAGGAGGACGCTGACGCGGGACACAACGACCAGTGCGAGCAGCACGATCAAGCGACGCAGAACAAGACTCAGGCGACACAGGACAAGACTCAAGCTCTTGACGCTCTATAAGACCTCCTGTCGGACCAGTGTAGGGAGAAGGACCAGGGAGTGGCGAGGCAGACTGTAACTGTGACAACGACCGGACCGGCGGAGGACACTCTAAGGAGGGAGCAAGACAAGGAGGAGGCGGTTGACCAAGAACCTGTTGAAGGAGCGGAACGAAGTATGGCCGCGGCCGTGAAGTGTCCCCTGAACCAGCTGAGACAGCACCAGAGCCCCTAGCAGCAGCTCCAACTCTTGCAGCACCACCAGCAGCTCTGGTAGTGCCAACTCCAGTACCCCCAGTAGCACCAGCTCCAGCCGCACCGTTGGCTCCAGCACCTGCAGGAGGACGAGCGTCAGCACATCCAGCTCCAGCCTATGTAGCACCACCAGCCCCAGTACCAGTAGCACCTCAAGTAGCTCCAGTAGCACCTCCAGTCCCAGCAGCTCCAGTACCGCCAGGACGAGCACCTCCAAGACCAGTGGCTCCAGCACCTCCAGCACCAACCCCAGGGTCAGCAGCTACACCAACTCGAGTAGGTCCAGCGTCCTCAGCTCCAGCTTCAGCAGCACCTCCAGCTCCCACAGCACCACGACGGCGACGACAGTACCGGGAGTACCACTCACGCAGCTGTTGGGAAGAGAGAGCGCCCCCTAGGTGCAGCACCCCCAGGCTCAGGACCTCCAAGCTCAGCACCCCCAGGCATAGCACCCCAAGTCTCTGCACCCCCAGGCTCAACACCCCAAGTCTCCGCACCCCCAGGATGAGCACCCCCAATCTCAGCACCCCCAGACCCAGCACCACCAGGCTCAGCACGCTCAGGCTCAGCACGCTTAGTACCTCGTGCAGGACCAGAATCGACAGCTACCTCGACAGGCTCGACCGGGTCTACCTGGGATACACCTGAGGGAGCAGAACCCTTGGGAGGTAGGGGGTCTACCAAAGCAGCACCTAGCGTGAGGAAGAGCGGCGGAGGGGGGAGCGGGGTAGTGCGGTAGGGGAAGAGACGGTAAAAGGGGACCGACTCGTCAAACGTGACGTCCTGAGAAGGGAAGACACGGCGCGAGGTGGGGTGGCAAAACTGCCAGCCAGGCGTGTCGGGGACAAAGCCCAGGAAGACACAAGGAACGGCGTCCGCGGACGTATCGCGGACAAAGGCACGAGATCCCTAGACCTGGAACACAGACGCATCACCAACCTCTCCCGTCCAACGCAGTGTCAGCAAGGTCTTCGGAACGGAGACACGGGGCCAGAGGTTGAGTTGATGCGCGGCGTACCGGACCACAAACGGCCACAGAAAAATGGGGGGCAGCCGCATGGACCAAGGAGGTACGAGCGACCTCCATGACCAAGCCAATGCGGCGCTCAGCAACCCCATTCCGCTGAGGAGAGGCCAGAAGCGTGAACGTCTGCCCAATGCCCTCCCCTTCACACAAGGCCTCAAAGAGGCCGGAGGAAAACTCACCACTTCTGTCAGAGTGCAGTCGCAAGACGGGAAGGTCCGTGCAAAAGCGCCTCTCCAGCTGGAGACGGGTAGCGCGGATCCAAGGGATCAAGTCAGCAGGGACCTCTCCTTTGGTGCGCAAGGGGAAGAGCGTGGTGTAACGCGTGTAGTCGTCAACTATCAGTAGGAAGTTGCGCTCTCCGCCCTGTCCACGGACGCGGGCTGGGCCCCACACGTCCATGTGAAGGGTCTGCAGAGGAGCCTCTGTCGAAGGGGGAACTCAGAGGAGTGAGGGGTGGCACGCTGCCGCCCCTCGACCGAGGGAAGGCAGGGAGGGGCAGGGGTCGGATGGCAGGGGAGGCAGTGACCTGGGGAGACCAGAGACAAGGAAACGGGAGTGCATGCCACAAAGGCGGTGCATCGAAGGGTGACCAAGGCGGTGGTGCCAGAGGACCTTCCGGTGCAACAGGGTGCGACACGAGCAGGGGGCGGACAACTGACCTGACACAGACGCAGACACAACTACATGAGGGGACTGAGTGGTCAGTGTGTACAAGTCTGACCCCGGCTGCCCAGTGAAGGTAGCCAGGTGACGACCCGTCTGGGCACACGTGCAATATATCACACGCTCGTAGGCAGGGGTGAACTGGTGAACACCCGCGTCCTGGAGCGCGGAACCCGCCACCAAGTTCGTAGAGAACAAGGGGAGGTAAAGACCCGACAGTGTGCCGGACGGGACAGCGGGACAAGGGAGGGCAGTGGTGGAGGTCGCAAGGACCGGACCCTCGGAGGGGTCAGCCAGGGAGACAGCAACAGGTCTAGGGAGCTGCTCTAGGGCAGTGCGGTCGTGAAAGAAACATTGGGAAGCACCTGAGTCCAGTGTGAAGGTGTGTAGTGCCTCAGTAGACGCAGTACCTGAAGGCGCAGACTCACGAGCACCTGAAGCAGTAGACACACCTGCACCTAGAGCAGGAGCCTCACCAGGTTCTGGGGCAGCAGACGCACTAGCATCTAGAGCGGCAACCTCTCTGGTCGCAATGCCTGGGTCTGGCGGGACACACAAGTAACAATCACCCTCAACACTAATAGTCAATGCATACATGGCTCCAAGGATAACATCAAAGTCAAGTGCAAAGATATCAATGTTCTATTAAGCAGATCAGCCCAGCGGGGCAACTCAGAGGCGTCACGAAACACTCATCATCGAGGTTGAGTTTCGATAATGCACAGCGCATTACTACTCTGATCCTGACTTCTCGACCCTAAACAATCAAACTAGAAAACTTCCCAACACTGAGTAATCAGGGTGATATTTTTCTGGAAAGTATGCACCCATGATTCAAGGGGAATTTTTTTCCCAGTTTCAGGGAGGCTTAATTGGAAACGTCAGCCCTAGGTTTGATATAGTGACAACTCGGGCAACTGCTCAATGTCGAATCAATTGTTTGTCCTTGCTGTCGCGCTGTATTTGTCGAGTCAAGGGTCGCTGACCTTTGACCTTTGCATAATCTCCAGCAGTTACGTTTTGT